ACGAAACACCATTTTAAAGTGCATTTTTATTCAATTAATATAATTATAAATAATATGTAGCCGAAAAAGTAGCCAAAGCGCCAAATGATATTTTTTACGTCAAACAAAAAAAAGTAGCCACATTTGGCCCAATGTAGCCAAATCTTGCAACGTTGGAAGAAATACTAAATAAAGCTGGAGTTGTGAATCAAAGGATTATAGACCCAAGTGCGGGATAAAGAGACAAAGGACAAAAGATAAAGAAGTATAAAAGGTTGAAAAATTACGGGTCCATATTTGCTGAACAGAAGATCTATTTAACCTTTCTCACTACTACATCTTTTGTCCTTTCTCATCTTTCCCTCTTTTTTCCAAATTTGGGTCTATAATCCTTTGAGTCACAACTCCAGCTTTATTTAGTAATCCTTCCGCATTCACAAATCTCCAAGTACAGTATTTGAAAATATTTTCTTTCCACTCAAAAATAAAATATGAATAAAGGTTTACGGCTTTGTGAAACTTTTTTTTGAGTTTATGCCGTTGAAATAAATAAATAATAAAAAATTAAAACATATGTCGGTTTTGTTTACACGTTTATTGGGCCGCATTGGAACTTGCCTTGGGCCGCATGCGGCCCGCGGGCCGCGGGTTGGACACCCTGGTCTACAGTAAGTTACAATTAAATGGAAATAATTGAAACTAATTTAATAATTCTTATCGTTTAAAGCAGGGGTGTCCAACCCGCGGCCCGCAGGCCGCATGCGGCCCAATAAACGTGCAAACAAAACCGACAAATTGTTTTATTTATTTTTTATTTTATTATTTCAACGGCATAAACTCAAAAAAGAAGTTTCACAAAGCCGTAAATTTTTATACATATTTTATATTTGAGTGAAAAGAAAATATTTTCAAATACTTGAAGATGTGTGGATGACGAAGGAATATTAAATAAAGCTGAAGTTGTGACTCAAAGGATTATAGACCCAAATTTGAGAAAAAAAAAAGGCCAAAAGATAAAAAGTTGTGAGAAAGGTTAAATAGACCTTCTGTTATGCAAATATTGACCCTTAATTATCCAACTTTTCTCACTACTTTTTATCTTTTGCTCCTTTTCTCAAATTTAGGTCAATAATCCTTAGAGTTCCAATTCCAGCATTATTTAGTAATTCTTTTCAGCATTGCAAGATTTGGCTACTTTGCGTCAAATTTGGCTACCCTTTTTTTAGTTTGGCGTAAAATTATCATTTTGCGCATTGGCTACTTTCTGGGCTACATATTATTTATAAATATATTTGTCGAATAAAAATGCGCTTTAAATTGTTTTCGATAGTTAATTAAACATTGAGAACAAGACATTATTAATTTCAAAATTTGTCGTTCTTTGTAAAAAGTTGCTAAAATGGTAGAAAAAACAGTTAAGACGCATCGAAAGAGACATCGCCAACCTCTCAAGAAATCTCCTCTAAAGTGTTGAAAATACCAGAAATTTTACTAGACGTATTTAAATATTTAAACGATCTGGACTTACAACAGTGTGAACTTTCTGGAAAGACCTTACTGAAGAAATCCTATATGAAAAAATAGCAATCTTTCGTAAGGTAATTATGTATTTAGTTTTTATACATCTGATTATTATTACATTTTTTACTATATACACTGACAGCTTGCTTAATTTTAATTATAGCAATAGAATTAATTATATGCCTAGTTTACAAAACATGTGAATGCAATTCCAAATAAATGATACAAGATATTTGTTCCAAATATTGTATTAAATGTTTATAAGAGTGTTGAACGTTCTATATATTTGCACGAGAATGAGCGTTAAATAATGCATACATATTCCATGAAGTATTCAAACATGCGTATATATTCTATAATATATTTAAACATGCATAGACGGTTTTGACTACTATTTGAACTGTTTATTTTTATATAAATACAGAAAAATCTTTATACAGTGATTACTCGATATAACAAATAACGTTATTATTCTTTGCTAGTCATTATGCATATAATTAATTTTAGTAGTAAATTTTCATCAAAAGTAAGTTGTAGTAAGTAGTAAATTTTTATCAAATCATTAAAAAATATGCACTTACACTGTCATTAAAAATTCTAATAACGCCTCTAAGAACACTAAAAAAGAAAGAAGAATATAAAAAGTGATAAGTTTTGATGAGGCACATATCGCAATTTATAGTAAGTCTTTACATAGATAATGTTTTGAAATTATACAAAATATAAGAATTGTGAAAACCTTACGAAACGAATTGTTTGATAATCTCGATTAAATAAAGCACAAACAGTACTTTCGAATTTTTAAAACAGGTAATAAGAAATTCTAAATCAGTGGTGTCCAATCCTTTTGTTTTTTTGGCCGCATTGAAAGAAGTCAAGGAGTTTTGGGCCACAAGTAGGCCTATATATCAGTGGTTCCCAATTAGTTTTTCCTGCGTACCACTTCAAAAATGAGCTTAAACTCGCGTACCTCTTATAGCAGAAATTCATATTAGTCCATACTAATATAAATTCGAAGGTAATTTTGTTTGTCTGTCTGTTACCTTTTTACGTCTAAACCGCTGAACAGGTTTTAATAAAATTTGGCACAGAGATTGCTTATGTGTTGGAGATGGACATAGGCTACATTTTACTGCGAGAAAATATCTTACTTTCACGACAAAATTCGATATAATGCAAGCGAAGCTGTGGGTAGACAGCTAGTGATAAATAGAATAAGTTTTTTTTACATTTGTTACCTTTAAATTACAATTCTAATAATAATGAAAATAACATAAGGCTATTTAATTTTAATGCGACAAATGTACACAATTTTTTTTGCACAACTTTTTGTAAAGTCTGGTTGCTTTTTGGTCAGCTTCAGTTCCGAGTCATTTTCGAGTTGAAGTCGGTGACGATGTTTAGTTTTCATGTTTGTCACAGCCGAAAATCTGCTCTTGCGGAGGTATGTTGTGCAAAATATTAGTAAATATTTCATTGCCCTTCGCTGACATGATAATAATGATAATTGTACAATTAACACAAATTATGTCATTTGTACAATTTTTGTTTCTTGCGTAAGAATTTCATATTCTTATTCATTTAGGTATTGTCACAAATGCTTTTTTTAAATGAAATTTCGAGAATATTTTTAGTTATAAATAAACGAATTTGTGCATTCGACATCGTGTTGTAAATTGCCGAATTTTTGATGGTCCGCCCATTATTTTTTTGATTGCTTCATCTCATGCATTTAAATTTTAAATCTACCGATTTTAGATTGCCGCGCGTATCCTTTCATGCAATTTCACGCGTACCACTAATTAGGAACAATTGCTATATATAATATATTGGTGGCCCGATATACAAGTATATTTAAAAGTTAACATGTCTAGATTATTATTATAATAATAAGTATTAAAACTTTATCAAGAAAAAGGATATTTTAAAAATTACTTCTACAGACACTTTCAATTTTTACTTAGAAATAGGTAAATTCATTTATTATAAAAGAGACAAACGGAAATTTATTTGAAAAACACAAATATTTGTTTTATTTGTGTCTCTAATTAATAAAAAGCGACGAAACACCATTTTAAAGTGCATTTTTATTCAACTAATATAATTATAAATAATATGTAGCCCAAAAGTAGCCAAAGCGCCAAATTATATTTTTTACGTCAAGCAAAGAAAAGTAGCCACATTTGGCGCAATGTAGCCAAATCTTGCAACGTTGGAAAAAATAATAATACTCTTTTATCGACACTACTGAAGTTTTCGAGAATTCTTTGCAATGAAGTCTTAAGAATTAGAACTTAATGTTATCCAACCAGCACTTTGTGAGCAATTGTCAGATGAGGTTTAAGAAATAGCGTTTTCCATTCTGAATATTTTGCTATTTTTATATTTTCTATCACATACACACACGTTGATTTTATCGATCTCCATAGTGCGTTTACATGAGAAAATTTTACTTTATATTCTGGTTTTTCATAACTTGATTTTCTCTCACTGAGAATACAAAAAATTGAATTTTTTGCAAAAATTAGAAATTCAAATAAAATTTGGTTTTGAAAACAAATTTGTTTTCTCTAATTCAGATTTTCTGATTTATTAAAATGTTTTATAAAATTAATATGATCAAAAAAGCAGTTAATTAGCATAATTTAGCACAATAAATGATTATATGTAATAATAATAGCAGATGAGCCCGGCATTGCTCGAGCAAAAAAGAACAGACATTAAGACTCTTTCGTACTTCTAATCCTTATATTATAATATTTGCTTTATATAACTACAAATTTTATCTCACGTAAGAGTTTAAAACACCGAGTTCCTAATATTACGCAATTAAAAAATTTTTTAAATTGCGTTTCGCGTTTTCTTCTTCTCTAAAAACCCTCTGAACGTTGAAGGGTCCGAGTTTAATCCACATTAACTCTTACGTAGAATCACTACTGATCTTAAAACACGTAAATATTTATTAATTAACATTAAAGTCTAAAGATTTCGAGAGCTTCGTGGTTCATTACCTTAACTTCTCGAATTCTGCCCTACAGATTGACTTACAGTATTTCACTTACAAAACTAGAATCATATTAAAATAACTACGGAATTGTTATGGAAGCAATAATAAGACCTAAACATCTATAAGATGATCATTTTGTCATCTCGTAAATATTACCGCTACAAAGATAATGATTAAATATTATTCAAATATTAATTTTTTTTACGTAATTATTACATTTGCATATCTGATACAATGACATTATTGAACTTAAGCAGTAAATGTAATAAATAAAAATGCATATTTTTAAAAATGTTTTTAGTAGTTCATTACAAGAATCGTATAGCTATAATGTTATAATTTATTGTAGTAACATAATAGAAATAATTATTTTATATTTCTTTCATATAATATGTCATTTGTAGAACGCTTGTATGAAATAAATACGTAATACCTAACAAATGCTCGAAAAAATGAAAAACGAAAGTTTCTAAAATTTATTGTCATTCAATAATTTTACGAAAATTATTTCGTTTACAAAAGTTACTTCACGTATACTAAATATTTACATTGTATAATTATTTAAACATCCAAAATTAATTTTCGTATTCTGTAAAAACCACCGACGTCAGTTCAATTACAAACTTTGTGGAGGAGAAAGGAAAACATACCTCGTGTTAAATGTAAATAAAGTATCCGATAATAAGCACTTTTACAAAGTTTAGACAATAGAAGAAATTCCACAATTGAATATTCTTTTCACCCCTAATAATCTTATAGATTCATCTGGGAGTTCGTATATCGGAATATACTCGGGAGTACTTTTTAATACCTCAATGAAGGTCGATTTTATTTCTTCCTTCGGAACCTTAACTAAAAATATGTTAAAGCTGCGCTGCCGCAAATATTTCATTTTTCGAAAAGATACAAATCCGTCCATACCACAGATCTCTCTTTCGTAGACGAAATCTTGCGAATACGTCGACTTCATACCGACCAAAACCTCTATTCCTTCGTGGTTTCGATGGCTAATTGGCAGAGCAATCGCATTCACCACACAACTTTTGGAAACCCAGAAATCAGCCATAAACAGAAAAGTTGGTTTCATTCTTGTATTTCGTTTCAACACTTCATACGTCATGGAATTTTCGGCAATTAACGAAGAATATTCAGTAGTTCTTCTCGGTTTAGCGTAAGCAGATATTATTGGTGGAAGAGTCGCGACATTTTTTTGAATTTGATATCTTCTTATGGATTTAACTTCTTTTGTCGAAATGCAAACATTGCTAATCAAGTTCAAAAGCTGTTCTTTTAACCGTGGTTCCAGCATAGAGAATCTAATCAACGGCAGGAACGGTCTTATTATTTCTCCCTTCGAAATGTCGTCGTGTGTTTTTCTCAGTTTACAAAATTTTTGCTCGACCCACTCAAGAAGAGCACGCAACAAATCAGATTCTTCTATTGTGGAAAAGACGGAGCACTTCAACAACTTGTAAATGGTACTTTCTTCACAAAGTTTGAAATCGTCTGTGTGGAAATAGTTCTTTTGGAACCAACGGAAACTTCGCCAAGAATGAAACTGCAATTGTTTTGCGTTGTGTCTGCAAGCAAAATCGTGGATGCGACAAATGTTTGTGCAGAAAATCGACTCTGTAAGATAATGGAAACACATTCTTTGCAGTTGGCTAATGAAGTAACGTTTGCCGATGAGGTACATTTCGAATCCATTATCCGCAGAAGTAAGAATAACATCTTCTTTCTCCAAAAACCTAAAACGAAACATTTACAAATTTAAATATCATAAATAATTGGCATATTTTATAGTATTTTACATTTTTTTGCGTAAAAAACAATGGCGAAAAAAATTGAACAAGAAAACTATTAAGTGTAATGTTTAAAATAGATCCGAAATTTTGAAAGGACCTTCAGTCAATATTTATAAATCCTTCGAAATATCCTCGTAGTTGGTGATGTGAGAGTATGCGAGTTGAACTTCACACCGACCAAAACCTTTATTAATCACGATTGCTAATTGGTAGCAAAATCGCATTTACGACATCGTTTGGTCATCCAATATACTAAGTAATGATTTATTAACTGTTTCGTTATTAAATAGTAAATAAATTTTACAAATAATTGCATTATTTCGACTCAATAAATTTGTTTTGTCCACTACTTTTCGGTTTTATTCCAATGCAAACCAATTAAAATAATTGCACCGAACTTTTTTAAAAAAATAATCTTTTTCTTTATACGGGTTAGTCGTATTGTTGTAAGTTAGATTTATACACCAAACACTAAGAAACGTCTGTACAATAGATTCGTACAAACCCTGCAAATTCATTCAGCATTTCCAATGTCAGAGGTAATTTCAGAATAAACTTCATTTCATTCGGACACACAATTATGAAGTTTTTCAGCAATCCTCCATTTTGTATCAATGATGTTCGTGATACGACGACACATTCTCCGTTCTCGTTGAAAATAGTCACTTCGTGAAAGTTAAATCGTTGTTTTTTGACGTTCGACATCTTATTTTGCCCCTTGAAACAATACGTGTATTAGTAGAAACTCGTACGAATAATAAAGAATATTCTCCGAATCACTTAAATTTTAGTCAACGATTTCTTTCCTGGATACTTGACACTCAAAACGAACACTTTTTCAAGTTAAGTTCACCGGAATAGAAACGGTTACGTCAATCATGTGTTAGTTTTTATGCAAATGAGTTCACTAAATAGCTGATACTGAACACTTTTGGAAAATATTAATATATATAAATATTTATTGTGCTAAATTTTGCTAATTATCTGCTTCTTTAATCATGTGAATTTCATAAGACATTTTAATAAATCAGAAAATCTTAGTTAATTAATAGGTTTGTTCCCAGTTTAATCATTGAAAGTCAGAGAATCTGCCAGGTAATGCTTACAATAATCAGTTCAAAAATTAAAAGTACGAACTCTTTGTCTAAAGTTAAGTCATAGGAAAAGATGTAGAAAGATGTCACCTGGCTAAGGTAAGTGGAGATCACCGGGTATATTTTTTATCTGTTATTTATCGATGGTTCTATTCGGTTTGACTGCAAAAAATTTTGTCTGTTTTAGAATTGGCTACTAGATGAGACTCTTATAAATTAAATAAAATGCGTAACAAACTTTTGATGTAACACAGTAACACAGTACGAATGATTGTAAGTAAACAAAAGTGTTAGTACTAATAATGTGTTCTATAGAACTTTCAATCAATAATAATTCTATCAAGTACAGATTGATCCAAATATTTTAAGTTTTCTGTTCATCTAGAGTTTACTTTCATACCTATTTTGTTTTATTTGGTTTATAAAACGTATGCCAACAAGTGACTTTATTCGTTTTGAAATTTAATACTGTATATTCATTTAGCAGCTTTTACAGAGTTTTTTTGTATATTTTATGGATACACTAAAATTCGTAACGGGAGATAATAGTAGTCGGATGTATCTCCAGTAAGGTCGGAGTTAATGTCGATTTTACTCGTTATTAGCGTTTACAATTATTTTTATAAAACTTATCTGTAATCTCAAAACTAAGCTTTTGGTCGTGTTATGATAGTTAAAAATATAAAAAGTTTTTAAAAATAAAATATGACAAAAGTTTCCAAAACTTATACTTTATTTATAGAGTAAAAGATTTTGAATTTATTTTGATGTATTTTCGAATATATGTCAAAGCTTTCTACAGTAACAAAAATTTAAATGTTTTTTTTTTTTTGTTATTTAAATTTCTTAACATAATGAATAAATTGAAAACATAATTAATGTAAATTTACTTTCTCATTTGGCTCCTACCGCCCTTTGGGTTGTAAGAGGGCCTTTCTAACCATGTCTATCGTGGTTTCGACAGGATGGTGACGACGGGGCCCGAATTTTCCGAAGAAGACCAGTTCCCTGCAAATATTCTTGGAGTGTTCGCCCTATTTCGATTCAGGGTTTTTCAAAACCATAGGTGAACAATTAATTATAAACATATAGTTTAAAAATACGTTCAGTATATCAAATTTATACGAACTATTTAAAAATCGTTTAAGGAGAAACTAAAAGTTTTTAATTAATTAAAGAGAAAATTAGAATATAAATCCACATGATTATGAACTTTCACTTTCATAATATTCGGGTAAGAGCTTTATTTTTAGGTGACGGTGTTACTATCGAGACGTTGTGCGATGGCGAACGGCCTCGCCGTCTCTACAAAATGCCACAAAAGTCCTACGACGGTAACACAACGTGGCACGATCATGCCGCCATTAAAATAAGCATGCGCCTTTCGATGTGTCGGGCCGAATGCCTCCGAGTTCGAGCCCGTGAAGAAAATGGAACGACACGAAACAAGGTCGGTGGCGATTGTAACATATATTAGACATATATAACAGTTGAGTATAACTGTGACTTCTCACAAATCAGTACCATGTTGGAAAAATCAAGCTAAACTCTTATTGGCTCCTGCAGTCGTGTGCTGACTCTTGATCGTCGTTGTGGCAAATGTAGTGGACTATAATCGTTTTTCCAACAACCACGTTTTCTTTACATGGCTATGGAGAAAATTATGATTGGCTTTTCAGCAAATTAACTTTCCCATCGTGTTCTATACGTTAAATCTACAAAATGGCACGTTTCATTTATACACGCATATTAGTGGACTTTGATCGTTCTTTCCTCGAACCTTCAATTGAAATAGTTCACATATGATTAACCCACAGATAACCGACAACACTGCAACTGTAGCCTAAATATCTTCTAATTTTATAATTAGTTGACCTTTTAAAACCAGTAAAATGTATTGACATAAAAAAGTAAACATACATCCTTTCGTTACTTTTGTTTTATTTGAATACAGTTATTAAGGTTAACTATTTCGATACATTCATGCAGTATAATGATTCATTCAACATAATGCTGCAATTTAACAGTTTTTACTTGTTCTAATATAAAATCTCTAAACTTTTATCGGTTCTGTAGTTTCTAGTAATTAATGTTATATAAAGCGTAATCGATTTTTGAAACAGTTTTTAATATATTTTCATAAACATTCTAATTTGAAATATATATATTTCTTTAGTATACTTAAATTTAAGCGATCTCCGTAACTAAGTACAATAACTTATAATTTCGTCCATAAAATAAAAAAAAATCCATTGAAACATTTATTAAATAAAAAAAGTAGGTCTTTGACAAACAGTCTCGAATTTTATCAGTTTTCTTTTGGTTACAGATGATGGAAACCAATTGTACATAACACTACATGCAGTATACCACGTTTGCCCCGATTTTTCGGTATTAAAACAAAAAAAAAATTTTTTTCTATGGTTGGGGGAAAATACTGAACTTAAGGCAGAAGGTAAAAATGTTAAAAAAAATAAATTTGGGCAAGTTTTTCGTATTGTTAGAATAATGTCTTTGTTTATCCCACCTAGACCCATGGCTTTTGGAGATAATTTATAGAGTCATTGACCTCAGAAAAAGTAAAATGTGGGTCATCCTTCAGAAGCTCACCATCATTCCTGCCTGTTCTAATTACAGAGTGCGCGAGATTGTCCTTCGCGAGGAAATCAGAAAGGCAGAAATAATCAAAAAGGTTAGAAACTGTGGCCTCAAGCTGGTAGGATTGTCAATATTGCTACTAAGAAAACTACGAGGTTTGAGTTTGTTTACACAGAGCTTATATATAAAACCCCATGGGTCTCCACCTGCACCAGCACAGAAGGACTTCCAAGAATTTAGTTTTGCTTTCTTAATGGCCTCCTTATACACTCTTTAGTAAGAATGGTACTACATATGCGATTGCTACCTCCTTTGATCATAACATCCCTGAAATACCCTGCGCAGTCTATTGTTGTTTTGGCGCATAAAAGATAAATCCGAATTCCACCATGGAGTTATCCGTTTTTTGTTCTTCCTCCTGGGAATGGAGATTTGGAGAATAGCTGACTCAATACAGGCCTTAGCCTCAGTATGTGATACAATCCCAAGTGAAGATATACTGATCCGCTGTATATTGTCCTGGAATTTGCACCAGTCAGCTGCCTTGGTATTGAAAGCATTCTTATTGTTCGCTTCTGTATCCTGTAGCTTATTGCAGTCTAAGCTATAGGTTATACACTCGTGCTCAGAGAGACAGTCAAAAACGCCTACCAGCTAATCCTGAATAATAGAGCAGAGACCTTTGGAACAGATGGTCAGATCAATCCAGGAGTGACCATTAGATTACGAAAAGGTTTAGTGGAGAGTCTGGGTCACTGATCACCAGAAGGACATAAAGCGATAAAGTCCTCCATGGCCTCATCCCTGCCATCTCTTTACTTCCCCCCAAGTAAGCGAATGCTCATTAAAGTAACTGGAAATTAAAAAACTACGATTACTGAAATAAGTTACAGCCAACTCCATGTGGTGGATGATTTCATGAATATCTGACCTACTTAAGCAATAGACGTTGAAGATGATAATGTGTAAATCAGGAAGGCAGAATTCAATACAAATGCATGTAGATGAACAAAACTTTGGGTGGGAGATAGTAGCCAAGGTAGGATTAGTAATAATGACTGTAGCCCACGGTCCTTCATCCTGACTCTGAATGATAGTGTCATCGTTGCTAAAGCAAGCTACCCTATTCTTGTGACAATAGGGCTCTTGCGCTAGAGCAATATCATTGTTGTTAATATCCTGTCAAAGCTGAGAGCTGGCAGACAACGCTCGTTCCAGATTAATCTGTACAATGCGTATTTGAAAGTTCCTATGACAAATGTCAGTATTTCTGTTAGATGCCATGACCAATTAACGCAAGGAGCTGTGTTCTTGATCGAATAAAGGCAGAACAAACTTTATCGAGCGCATTGTGATCTATTTTCTTAATATTATCTCTAATGCAGTTCACACATTTTGGAGTTTCCGTTTTCTTATCGCAATCTTTGAAGGTATGATTGCCTCTACACTGACTAAATGTACGATCGTCTGCTACACAATTCTTGGCGAAATGCACAAATTTTAGGCATATGAAACATTGATTCGATGGGAGGAAGTCTACGACACAACACCTAGTCCACTGCAGGTTCACTTTCTCTTCTATGAGGAGGAAACACGTGAGGTCCGGAGAGACCTCTGCAACTTAAGAAACGAGAGTGTACTATGCTGTCTAATTGGGAAGCACACCCTAATCTTCTCTAGAAATGCTTCTTTGGAATATATCTCGGCAACCCGGCTGTTCTGCTCATAAATGGCATCTAAGAGCTGGTCTCTCTGAATGGATTTAGTTACCGTCATAATCTTGATCAGTGGGCGTCTGTTTTTCGGAATAACCGAACGTAAACCGGAAACCTCAGAAACAGCATTACATAAAATCCCCACCTCTGCACTACACTCCAAATCAACAACAATCCCTCCTTTTTGAATACGGCGTATTCTCTGAACACCTATTTTTAAGCTGTACAGGTCGAAATTCTAGAAAGGAAGTAAAAATTGAAAAGAGGGCAAGTAGTAATTATTAAAGTGAAATTTGAAAAACAAAATGTAGATTTGTATATTTCCACTGTCGTCCCTCCGTTCGACCAACCGCTTGTCTTTACTTAATCTCTAAAATGGTGATAAAGCCGAAGCCAGATATCGAAAGCATAGCAATAGTAAATCCTGATTAACTATATATGAACTTCGGATGCAAATCGAAAGTCATGTTATTTCAGTTCGAAAGGTTTTCCCGAAAAATGTTAGATGACAGCACAACTGTATTGGTTAAGGAAATACATGATGTACGGGAGGCAAAACAATGCTAATTTCAGGTGAAGAGAATATATTTTATATTAAATAAATTAAAAATATGATTAAATTTCAGCCCGGCATTGTGTCAATGTCACAAACTTACTCGATTTTATGTACAGTACATTTCAACAGAAATTAAGGAACGAAGAATGTGGTTATCGTTGATCCAATCGTTGACCTGTGGAACTTATCTTGTACATTCAGAGAAAATAAGTTTCCGTTGACATATAAAATCGCTATATCTGATCTTTTTCCGGGCAAAAACAGGAAGTTGTGTCCTTCTAACTTTTAACTCTTGAATCAGATGTAAATTCGGTCGTGAATGATCTAGATCAGGTAAGAATATTTTCAAGTGCATAATATTTAGGTAGAAAATAATCGTGTTGCACGGTATAAATAATCTTCATTATTTCACTTCTCATTATTGATTTATTTCAAGTTCATTATTGCACTTATCGTTTTCGATATTAAAGTATAAAATTAATATATGATTACTCAGTTTTAATTTGTAAGACTCTGACTGCTGCAGTCGCCTTATGGAAAGTAATAATGAAATATTTTTGTTGCTTGATATTTCCTTTCATTTTGATTAGAGATTTAGAAAAAAAAATGTCTTTAATTGGGCTACAATTTGAAAAATTATTATACCTATAAATTCCCGCTCTCTTAATGTTCGTTAGTATATCTGTTCTTTAATCTAGAGAACAGAGTAAGATACATGAAAGACGACACCACATGTGAAAAGCTTGTGGCAGACGGCCCCAATTAACTATAATATATACACACTTTCGGTGTAAACCGAAATTCAGATTATTATTTCAATTCGAACATTTTTTTCTGAAAGCAGTTAGATAGATGATCTGCCGACTCTTTTCGTAATTAATTATCTCCAATTCAATTTTTTAAAAAATAAACAAATTAATTTTCTATTATTTAATATTTAATTTTTAAATAAAATTAATATAAATATTAGAATAGCTGTAAATCACTTTTTTCAAAAATATTCAATTGCACACAGCATGATTACGTTAAGGTCTTCGCTAAAAAAATTGCATAATTTAATATTTTGCATAACGCACACAATATAGATTTCATATAAATTAAGTGATTTTGTAAAAAATCACATTTTCAATTGTTTTGTAGTTTAAATGATATACAGTAGAGCGTCGTTTATCCGAAACGTCGGTTATCCGAAAGAATTCCATTCGGCAAATTTAAATTTTCGCTAGTGCTGTGGCGCTGCAATCTCTGGCTATATCTTGGGCTACTCCAATATTTTTTTTGTTGATGTTTGTGTTTTAGCTGGCAGCATTGGCACTTCTGTGTGGTGTCATGCTGAATCGAACGTTATTGATACTAGATTAACTACTAAAGTATAATATTTTTTGTTTTTATATTTTTCAATATATTTATTTCGTTTGTAAAAAATAAAGAAATAATCTTTAACGATACAATAGCCACGATTATTATTTTAAAAAGTATACGTTTGGCTGAACATCGACGAAAATTCAACGCGAAGCGCCACGCAACGAAGAAAACTTTCACCATGCGATAGGTTAATATATTTTTTCGTACATAATCGGTTATCCGAAAAATATGTTATCCGAACAACCCGTCCCCAATTGATTCGGATAAACGACGCTCTACTGTATATATATGGTTCTCTGAGAGAGGTAAAGGGCTGCTATACTTTTAACACCCCTTTTCAGAGTATCGAGTAAGAGGACCCTTTTTTTCATATCCATTATAGGGGAACCTAATAGTCAAAAACGGGAAACTACACGTTAATTTTTCTTAGTTAACTAACTTCTCGACCATTTTGTATATTGGTATAGAAAACAGTGATTTCATAATCATAAGTTTTTGCATTAATTTTTATGGTTTAATGCTCGTATTAAAAAATACATAATTTTAAAAGTCGTTCAAATTTTCTGTAGTAATTTCTATGCTAAAATGTATAAGTATAATTTTTCCTCAATTCTTACCTCGTTATTTTTCCTTTTTTCCTTTATCTTCAACAATATTCTGCAACATTCAGGGGTAAGATTTACCCTCCGAATGAGGGGGTAGCCACCCCCCAAAGGGTAGCCCTCCCCCGTACGAACAATAAGGTCAAAGGAACCATACCCCTACGCGTGACCCTTCGCGAGATATAAGCCCCTGAAGTTTCGCGTACGTCATATCCGGTCATATGACATCGTTGTCAAAAGGCAGTCTAGCGCGCACGAAAATAATTTTAACGCAGTCTCGCGAACACGTTCCTTAGGTCTCTCTCTCCTCGCGTTTCCCCATTGCCGTCTGTCCCTTCCGCGCCGGCCCGCAGTTCACGTCCCCCGTCTGAAGTCATTCGTAGTCGTCATCTATTGCCTGTAAATATAACTATACATTATTATTTATTAGTCTTACCTTGGCCGGGCCGCGAACCCGGGTCTATGTTGACTGTAGTCCAAGCCTTTGTCCACTAGTCCAGCACGTCTGCTTACCAGAAACATTTCGGAAGTCATATTTGAGACAAACGAGCCCAAGGACAGCACTGCGCATGACAGCCAAATCACGTGGTCGTTCTCAGCCATAGAGATGCAGCGTCTCGCGGGCCAATGGGGCGCGCGGTCACGTGACACTCGGAACCGCCTTCCGACGCTCCGCGGGCCAATTGGGTAGCGACCGCGGGTCACGTGACACTCGTAACCGTTTCCCACGATTATATAAGCTGTACTCGCCTTCATATCCTCGAACCCAATACTGTATATGTTACAGAAACGAACATGCCTTATTCGTGTGATATTTCGGCGTCTCCCGTTATGGATCCCGCCACAATATTCAATAATATAACATCTTACAGTTTTCTTCGCTATCTTCCCACCGAAGAGGCTGCACAAAAGTTTTGCCATCTTGTGGGGCTTGTGCCTCATCCAGACCTAACTGGTTTCTTTCCGTCATGTCCTAAGTGCGGAGGTAAGCCTTTTCTCGATTCCCGCGTTTACACGAGTGCTATCTGCAGCTATCTAGGTTAATGCTACTAATGGTTCGAAAATGGCGTCGCTTCGGTTAGGTTCGTTTCGTTTTCGTTACATTAGCTACATTTTTAGCCGTCTGGACCACAAACCGTCGGAAGTACGGCCATCTTGAAACCATGGATAACAGTAACAGCTATCCTGTTTCGATATTTGACCACGCGAGTTAATAGCAGTAGTAACAGTAATATGTTAACTGCCAATATTCCAATTTACTAGTTTTTCGATATTTTTGTCGTAATCTTTAGGCACTATGCGGAAGGAACCGGCTCCATCTGACAGGTTCGGATTCGTCTACCGCTGTGAAAAAGTACAGCAGAAAAAGAAGATGAGGAGGCGGACTGGCGGCACCGTCTTCAGGGCCATGTGCACTGGTTCCCTGTCTTGCACCCACAACACCTTTTTCGAAAGGACACAGCTGACAGCCCAAGAGGTATGACATTTGAAGTCGCTCGCGAAACGTGATCGCAGAATCGGCGGTTTCTTTTTCTCTGGGTCACGTTACGCTATGCATTTCTGTAGTTTGATCGTATGGCTTGAGATGATATGTGTTTTGTTGGTTTTCTATTTTACAGGTGCTGATGCTTGTCTATTCGTGGGTCAAGCAGGAGCCGGTCACCGTCGCCGCGGAGGAATGCGGCGTGGCCCCCAAAACAGCGGTAGATTGGTACAATTACTGCCGTGAAGTTGCGGAGGTTTTCGTCTCCCACCAGCAAAACATCCAGCTCGGGGGTGAAGGCATGACCGTCGAGGTGACCATCGACCCACGTTTCTGACTTTGCCGAAATGTCTGTCTCTATATTCGTATGTTTTATTTTCAGATCGACGAGACCTTCACCCGGAGGCGAAAATACAACCGCGGCCGCGTAACTAAAGGCACCCAAATCACCATCTTCGGTGCCTATTGTCGGGAAACAAAAGAGGTGATGTACTGGCATGTAAGTAGTAGCCAAGCATTATTATTTCCTTTTATTTTTTAGTTTTTGTGGAAGTTTTGTTATAGTTTCTCGTATTCTTTCAGGTGGACAACAAGAGCCGACGGGTTCTCTGGAGCCACATGCTCAGATACATCGCCCGCGGTTCCATCATTGTTTCCGACAGCGCGGCCCAATATCGCGGTTGTACGACGATGGGCTTCTCTGAACATAAGATCGTCAATCACAGCCAGCGGGGCCCCGGGAGGTAAGGAAGATAAAGCTGTGCAATGTGTTATGTGAAAGAAATGAACAGGCGTTATTGAAAAGTGACATTTTTTTTCTATTTTCCGAGCAGATTCGTCGACGCCGATGATCCCGAGGCCCACACTCAGAACATCGAGTGCAGAAATCGCTGGCTGAAGAAGTCCATCAACTCGCTCCGCACGGACAGGAGCCTGCAGAGCTACAACTGTACAGTACGTAGGCCTACGTGTACAGGACGCGAGTCCTGTCCCAGTTGCCAACAACATCGGCAAAATTCCGGCAGTTTCTCGGGGACATCGCGGCCGTCTACCTGGGCCCCGGTCATCAGGGTCTCCAACTCCGGACGATTGGTGTGCCCGTGGATCAACATCTGCCGCCGGACGAGCCCTATTTCGATGTTCCCGTGCACGAGGGCGACGAAGAGGAACGGCAGGGGATGACGACCGCCCAGTGAGTAGTGCAGCATGTGTATAGTGCGCGTGACCAAAGGATACCTATTTGTGGATGTGAAACCTGGATTATGTGATTTTTCAGACAACATCGGGCGCAAACACCACCTTCGTCATCGACTCCCAGGACCTAGCCGAGGCGGGGACCAGCGGCCTCACCCCGTCCTCACCTACGCAACATCGGGAATAGGCTAGGCCTCGCCAGGTAGCGAAAGGATGTAGCGGGAGACGCAGGAGGAGACGCTGTTGAAGGTGAGTGTACAATCTGGTTTCAAAACGGTTTTCTATTATCCTAAGTAGTGACAGTCACCTCCGGAGAGGTAGGTCAGGTGTTTTGGACAAGCCGCGAAAGCGGCGCGTAGTACTAGCCGACCGGGCGAGCGAAACCCAGTCAGCCGATTGCAGAGACAGAGTTTACATTAAACGACGTTTACATTGGCTCTTACTTACTTCGCTATTACTCCCCTGTTTTAGGAGTCGTTCGGCCAATCGGATTATTTCTTCGTGACGTCAGAAATGGTCGAGTGAGTCTAGAAAATAGGTCAAATAACTTGTTTCTAATCGCTGTCTTGTAGACAGCGATTAGAAACAAGTTATTTGACCTATTTTCTAGACTCACTCGACCATTTCTGACGTCACGAAGAAATAATCCGATTGGCCGAACGACTCCTAAAACAGGGGAGTAATAGCGAAGTAAGTAAGAGCCAATGTAAACGTCGTTTAATGTAAACTCTGTCTCTGCAATCGGCCGAGTGTGTCGGCGAATGAGGGGCCCTAGACCCTCCCGAGGTCGAGGCGGAGCGCGGGGTCATGCGAAAAGGACCTAACTCCGATAATTAGACTGCAGTAACGTTAGAATAGGTCGATAGGCTTAGCGTTCGATAGGCTTAGTAGAAAGAGCGACGCGACTCGTCGATCCCGATCGCCGGAAATGACGTAGGGGATTCTTTACAGGGCTATATCTCGTAAAGGGTCGTGCGCAGGGGTATGGTTCCTTTGACTTTTTCGTTCGCACGGAGGGGTCTTCAATTCGGGGGGTCGCCGATCCGCTCATTCGCAAGGTAAATTGTGGCTAACATGCGGTCACGTGACCCGTAGAACAATTTTCGGAGGGCTATATCTCGCGAAGGGTCGCGCGTAGGGAGGTGGTTCATTAGACATTTATTGTTCGTACGGGAGAAGGCTACCCGTTGGGGGTGGCTACCCCCTCATTCGGAGGGTAAATCTTACCCATTCAGGCAGACCCATCTTAGATGCGACTGGTGGAAAAGAATAGAACCCGAAATATTCATGTGAAAATCTCCAACGAAAAATTTCTGTAGTTCTTTGATTGTCTGCGTGCCCCGTAATAGTTATCTTTGCGATCTGCTCATATTAATATTCATAAGATTAAACTTTCCATAATAAATTCTTAAACTTGGTCAAGTGTACCTGCATCTACATTCTAAAAATTCAAATTTATAAATTTACTAGCTTACTTGGCGTTACCCGGGATTATGAAACAAAGTTCATAATACTGTATAATAAATTATTAATTTTACGAAAATTCTGTTTAAAAAGAAAAATATCCGAGTCCTCAGAAGTAATAATTTGAATTTAATACCAGAAACAATATTTTTGTTGATTTTTTTTTCACCAGAAACAATAGTTTTCACAGTATAACCTGGAAATGTGAAGATGCTTTTAGGAAGTCTTCGGAGTACATTAATATTTGATCCGCATTGAATAGGTTGTGATGGCCGAGCTTATGACTCATTTTTAGAACATTATCAGTGTTCGGTATCATTCGTATTAATTCAGAAAAAAGTATATGTTTGGGCAGGAAGCGCGTGTATAACGGTTTTTAATTTTTTTATTGGTTTTGAGAACGAGCGGAAAAAAGACGGAAAAGATGGCGTCTACGTATTGCATGGTGTGATGATGATTTTTTATCTGTTCAACTTGTATTAGTTCAGTTTATATTAAAAGTAACTAAGAGTGTTTATGCTTCGTTGTATCATTTGTCCGGAAACAGTGCGAAGGCTCAATGACATTTCATTGGTCCGTCAATGCGGATTCTGGTGTGGTTGACGAGAGTTAAGCCTAATAGAGACATCAGCTACTTCATCCATCCACATCCAGCCGGATACTCGAAAACTTAAATATTGAGTACCGTTTATTTTTTTCTCGGACGAAAATCAATACGACCACGTGGATAGTATAGTCATTTCAGAAACATTGGCAATTGGAGGACATCTTAAGACATAACGAACATTCAAGATGGAGGCACTCTTAAACAGAAGGAAGGTACTAAAGGGACGGGTAACTAGAATTGAAAACATGTTAGAGGAACATGGAGTTCAATCTCTCGGTGAGGTAACGGCACAACTATATCTTAAAAAATTAAACGCATTATCGGAAGAAATCGATCAGTTACAACAAGACATTATTGGAGAATGTTTGGAAGACGAATTTGAGGTACATGATGCTCAATATAACACACTAATTGGTCGCGTGGAAGCCATGACCATTCGACTCATGACTGTTGAACAAAATTCAACAACCATAAGTTTAGTGCACAACAGTGCGAATGGAACAGAAGTTAAACTTCCAAGATTGGAACTCCCGGTTTTTAACTGCAAGTACGACGAATGGCTCTCTTTCCGCGATTTATTCACAGCAACTGTTCATAATAATTCTACGCTATCTAGTGCCCAAAAACTCCAATATTTGAAATCGTCAGTACGACAGGACGCCGCTTTATTGATTCAATCTTTCCCCATCACGGATGGAAACTATCAGGAAGCTTGGGATACATTGTTAAGAAGATACAATCACAATCGTGAAATAATTGATTCCTACATTCAGAAGTTATTCGAGCAACCCAGCATTGCACAAGAATCAGCCACTGCGTTACGACACTTACTAGATACAACTAATGAGTGTATTCGTGCACTGAAGGTATTAAAGCAACCAGTGCAACATTGGGACTCTATTCTGCTGTATATTCTCAAAGAAAAAGTGTTTCAAGAATCTCGTAGGCAATGGGAACTTTGTCAGAAGGACACAGAACAACCAACATTTAAAGACATGACTTCATTTTTAGAACAACGAGCTAGAGCACTGGCTGTTTCCCAAACCAATATTCATTCTGGCCAATCAAGACCAATATCCAGACTTCGTCCGTCTTCACATTCCAAGCAAATAACTTCTGCAGCACATCATGGTATTGTGCAGCCAGCATGTCCCATATGTCATGGCACACATCCAGTTTTCAAGTGCTCGACATTTTTGGGAGCATCGGTGAACGAACTGAGAGATCTAGTTAAGAAGCATGAATTATGCTACAACTGCTTAAGGTATTCATTTGTTTTTCAGTAATTGCTTCAACTTTATTAACAGAAAAGTAATTGTTTTTACTTCTAAGAATTTATTGGTTTCACAAATTGGCTTAACAGTTAAATGATGTAATATACAGGTTTTATCAAAAAATGAGGTTTTATTGAACACGTTATTTTCTATAGCGTAATTTATTGTTTTTACAATATAAATTGTTCTGTTTAAAATAACTCTATACATTAAATTAAAAAAACACGGCTAGATTATTAATTAAAGAATTATTACTTGCTTTTCTAGATGCAATGTATCAACTTTATTTTACCACACATTTCGTTGAAGTTCTTTAGTTCGTGAAAATAGTACCAACGATTAAAATGTAAATAAAATAATAACCGAATTAGTTTAAAATTTACATAAAATGCTGATGACTTCTTAAAATAATTACAAATGTAATTTACAAATTTATATTGTTTTATAAATTATATATGAAAAATTAAATCTAAAACAATATAACAGTAATATATCGTGAAATACGTTGATTATAATGAGAGATCATATCATCAATTGGTTATTATTATTATTATTATTATATAGCTGTCCTAAAACACTGTAAATTAGATAAATTAACAACGTTTATTATAATCAACGTTAGGCTATTGTTATCAATTGTGATAATTACTCTCGGGGACAAACGATAAGTATATATATGTAACCCATTCATTTCGTGTCCGTCCCGTAACCGTTTCATAACGGACACTAGAGGCGCCCCTATTGCGTGTCATATTTCAAACATTCAAATTAACAATTTTAATTCTTATTTAAATTAACAATATAAATTATTATTATTCATTTGGCCCATAAATTATTATTTGGTCAATATAACAATATAAATAATTCAGTACATTTGTAATAGGAATTTATTATTTCACGGGCTTATATCTCGCGAAGGGTCGCGAGTAGGAGTATAGTTCCTTTGACTTTATTGTTCGCACAGAAGCTACAGTTTGGGGGGGGGTCGCCACCTCTTCATTCGTAGGGTAAATCTTACCATTGGGACTTTAACAGAGCTGTAGAGCATATTGATAGGAACAAAAAAGTCAAAGGAACCGTGTCTCATGGAAAATTGTACAGAACGCCCACTAGGGGGCGTCCCGGGCTACCAGTTGTTAGATATTTGGTACTAAATAGATCCTATCTTCCAACTTACTTATAACTAAAACGTGCTTTTTATCTTTTACATGCCGTAAGGGAATGTCAAGAATTTTTAGAAGATACTCGTCCTGCCTGCAGAATATTACTTGAAGGGTTTCTTCGGAGCTGAACATTTTTCTTGCGATTCTTTTAGTTTAATTTTCTGATCTGTCGAATTAATGAGTTTTCTTGCAAGAAATGTAAAATATTTTAATGTATAACGTTAAATTAAATTTACAGTGTGTGGTGAATAAAATTGTACACATTTGTACTACAATTGCTTGTAATAAATTGAGTTTCGACAACGAAAAGTTTCTATTTTCTGTTTAATGCTATTAGCCGATTATTGTGATTAAAAAGGCACGTCCTAAATTACAATAAACCGATTTCACTCTACATATAAATTATGTAACCAACAATAAGGTAAATATAAGTGCAATTTGTAACAAAGATAAATTCTTTGCTTCAGTCATTCCTTTCGTCGTTCACACCATTCACAGTTCATAAGAATCGCAAAACTTACGGAAGAAAATGAATAAAGAAAAGGTTTTATCTTTGTTAAAAGTTGTACTTATATGTATTGTATTTTTTATTAAACGTAAATAACCGTCGGCCATGTTCGATTCTATTACGTAGAGATCACTCTCTGGATGGTGAATATTCTGTTTTTCGTAAGTTTAATAGATGTCAACCTTTACAGTTTACGAGTTAAGAATATGTAAGAAAAAAGTGCATTAGAATAGTCAATAGTAAATGCATTGATATCGAGTTATCTGTCGTTCCAATACAGTATTTTCAAGAGGAAGAAAACTCGCGTAATTAATCATTGATAACTCTACATCAGTGATAACACGGTATCAACCTGTCAAGAGATGTGTCTTTTATGTAATCGAATTTATAAAAAATGAAAATGTATGAATATTAAATCAGTAATTATTCCTTTTAAATTACTAATAAATACGTACTGTTTGAGGATATTTGAATTTTAAAGATTCTGCAAATCTGACATCAGTTATTAAGATTAAAATTATATTAAAATATATTATTAAAACACTAAAAAATACTGTATAGCTATAAGCGATTTTATTAGTCAAGAATCAGTAATATTTGCTGCTAAGTTTGCACTAATTAACTATTTCAATTTCGTTTCTCCTAGAACAGTTTCACCTGAAATGTTTCAAAGTAAATATTCGTTTATAATTGTAATTACGTAAGATATGTTTTTTATTCTATTCGCTAATGTAGTAAAGAAATTTATTAAATTTAGTTAATATTTACTAAATATAAAGTAGGGAGTAAACTAAAGTTTCCATGTTTTCCATACCTCGTCCTCACACACAACTGAAACGTTCTGATTTATGTTTTGGCTGTATGGTAAGATCACATATTCCTTTTGTATTATAGAAAAAAAAATATGCCATTCGCGTTAACTAATCGAAAATACTCTGAGAATGACATCACTTAGTTTTGGATCAGTAATGGAAGTATTAATAACTACATCCCATTTATTTTTCAGATTTTTCAACACTTGTCTTAAATAGTGCCAAATATCGTTTGTACATTAAAATTTCTTCGTGTTAACAATTGTAAAGTTTTTAAGATATCATTAAATTGAAAGTTAATGCTACAGTTAATTATTTTTTCTGAATGTCTAATTTTTACATTTTTTCTTTAAGAAGGCAGCCAACATTTCTCTTGAAAAATTTCCTGCAAAAATAACAAGTTTTGAAGTAGAAACTAAATATTTACATCTGAAAAAAACGAATTTGATATTGTGAAGTAATTACTTTCAAGCTATGCAGAAGTAACTTTTTCTGCATTTCTTTGCAGTAATTAACATATACGAATTATTTTGTACCTTAACATTCAAGTTTAATATTTTCTATATCGTATGTTTTCTGAATCAAATCCAAAGAAGAAGAAGTTTTTCTCTGTAAATTGTGGCAAAGAATTCTGTTGGAAGACTTCACTTTGAAATTCATAGCAGGATTTACACAGGAGAGAATCCATTCTGTTGCCAGTAATGCGGTAAAGACAGTGTTGCCGCAATGAAATTTCAAAACGTACTGTAGCGCCTTCAGAAAATGTACTATTTTCCTTCAAAATGTACTAGTTCTATGAATACTTTGTTTACGTGCCTATATATATATATATATATATAGGCACGTAATATATATAGTTTATTGTCAAATAATTTAATTTAAAATTTTATTTTTGGAATTTTTTGAAAGCTATTTATAAATATCTACACATCTATTAGTTATTATAAAATGAGCATTACATTGACAACATTTATTAATAATACTATTGAATTTCATCTTAATTTTATAACCAATCGTGCTTTAAAAAAATAATTATAAATTTGTTATATTATATTATTATATTCTTGTTTGCTTAAAACATGCGACTCAAAAAAAACCCAAAATGGCGGCTCAAGAAGTAGATCACGCGTCCTGGCCTTCTTATATAGACCTTGGAACAGTCGGAAGCGCGGCCATTTTGGAACCACACGTAACATTAACCGTTATTTCTTTTACTACGATTACTAAAATTGAAGTTCATAATTTAAGAATTAAATTATAGTGGTAGAAAATAATATAAAAGTATTTATATTATTTATACTCGTACAATTTCAAAACTATTTTCTGTAATAATTTGATTCTGACTTAACGGATATTTTGATATTATTGACGACAAAAGTTTAAAATCATTGATTTCCTTACCTGTCCATTATTTTTGTTTGACGGAGTTGAATTGTTTGGACCACGTGGCATGAAAAATTTTGTCAAGGTCCTGATGAGAATGTGCAGACAACTGAACGTGTGAAAGAAGACCACTGAGTCAAGACCGTTTACACGTGCAACTATCTATGTTGCTGACGTCGACGAACACACACCATTTGTATGTTGTGATTGGATAATTTAAATTAGCAAGCAGTGACACTAACGACACTTTATTAAACTAATTTTTCTCATTTTTTCGTTAAGGTGTGAAATATTATTTTGTACCGTAAATGGTACTTGAAATATTATAATGTACTGAAAATGTACTACAAATCTAAATATACTTTCAATTTACTGGAAAGGGCAAAATGTACCAGAAAAGTAAAAATGTACTAGGAACGGCAACACTGGGTAAAGACCAGATTTTTGGCAGTTATTCCGGAGAGAAATCTTTTACCTGCAACCAATGCGAACGCAGATTTACACAAAGGATCAGTCTAGTAAGGCGTCTTCGAATTGATACAGGAGAGATACAATCTAACTGCGATTATTGTTTACAAAAGATCGCTTACAAATACAGTTTGAATTCTCATATGAAACGCCATAACAAAACGATACTTAATTAATATAAATATTAAAAAGTTTGATATTTGAAAGAAATAATATAATTCCCAACCGTACTGTTTGTTCATTGCCTACTACTTTCAGTTTTTCTACCTGACAATATAACAAAATGAAAAATTATAGTGTAAAAAGAAAACCATATTTACTCCAACGGGACTCGAAACAACAACAACCATATCAATATGAAACTAACGCACCCAGACCACACCGCTAGCCACATGGTCGACAATGTAAATTATGAAGGCTTTAATTTATTGTGAAGTGACTTCAATGTTAAGCACGTAATGGTCCACTTAGTTATATGCTAATTTCTTAGCTATGTGTATGAAAAATCACAATAAATACACGTATAAAGCCAGTTTTAATGTCGAATATACAGAATATACAAGTAATGCAAATTAAAAATTAACTGCTACTGCAGAGAGGCGGTGACGTCAAAGTCATGTGGCGTCTGCAACCAATTACTGTGATGATTTCTTTCTACTTGTAAGCGCGTGTTGCCTC